TTTTTTTTTTTTTTTTTTTTTTTTTTTTGTTAATCAATAGTAAATTTACCATTCTAAATTATCTATTTTATAAAAAGGTAGGATATAAATTTTCTATTTATGTTAGTATAGCAAATAAGATATAGGAGGAGGAAAATGAAAGAAAAAAAAATGAATTAAGGGAGGGAAAAAATAAGATATAGGTTTAACCAGTTTTATTATTATTTTATTATTTTATTTATTTACTCTTTTTTTTTTTTTTTAATGAAAATAGTGTGTTTATAGTAAGGTAAAAGAATGTATATTTATGTTAGCATTAGGAATTGGGATAAACGTTTAATGTGGAATTTCACTTTTGTTAGTCAATAAAAAATTGGGAGAATAATGAAGGGGAAAAAAGGGAAATGAGGATTTAAAAGGAAGGAGAAAGGGGCAAATGAAGAGGATGAAGGATGAAAGAGTAGGAGGAGGAAAAATGACCAAAAGTAAATGGTCAAACAACATTATTATATACAAAAATATTTTAGTTATATAAATATTAGTATTTGAGGTATAAGGTTTGAGTTTATGTTAATATTAGTTAAGAAGATATGGGTTTAATATGGTTAATATTTGTATATGAGGTATAAGGTTCTCTAGATTATTTATTTTTTTAAAGAAAGCAATAAGGTTTGTTGCACCTTTAGTAAGTATTAGGAACTTCTATAAATATTAAGCTTGATATCAATATTTTCAAATCAGAGAATAGAAGCTTCCATATCATATTCACTTTGTAAGCCTATAGCGTTGACTATCATATATGGAGTGGAGGGAGCTGTAGGATATAATTTCAATTTAAAAGAAAAAGAAAAGCAAAATCAATACGACATGTTTCTCTAGAAATGGAATATTGTTATGAGTTGACTGAAATATAATCAATGGTTTGGCTTCTTTTATTTTTTCAATCTTTGAGTTATCTTTTAGGACTAACAATTAAGAGATCAATGACTAAAATCTAGGATTAACAAGCACCACTTCAACCTAACAACTAAACGTTGACTTCTTAGACAATTAACAATATAGGCTTTTCATGTCATTTCATTTTCTCTACCATTTTCAATCTCACTTTTCTTTTTTTCCTTCAATCTTTTAATTCTTTTTTAATTTTCCATAGATGACTGTCAACCTGTTTGACCGGCACTAATGCAGCAGAAGCCCACCGTTTACCTTTTGGACTTTTCCGAGTTGACTCTGAAATCAATATAATAATAATAGAAAATGTATGTTTTAATTGACCGTGAAAACCTACCGGGACAATCAAATTCTGTCCATAAATACCGAATCAACCACTAACTAATTCTCACATCAAGCCTTAGATATTTCTAACATTTTCAATATGGAAATTCAATTTTCTTCTTCATTTGCCTGCTCTCTTCTCATAATTCTCGTCTTCCTGGGCTGTTATTCTGAAGCAACTGCTGGCCGTGGCGGCATTGGCGGCGGAATTGCGACCTATTGGGGCCAGAACATAAGAGAGGGGCGGCTGACCGCCGCTTGTGCCACGGGGAAGTTTAAAATCGTCAACATAGGGTTCCTCTCCACGTTTGGCAACGGTCAGCTGCCGCAAGTAAACCTAACGCGCCACTGCAGTCCCATCTGCAACGGCTGCTGGAATGTGAGTGCTGGCATCGTCAACTGCCAAAACGACGGCGTTAAAGTCATGCTATCCATCGGCGGCCCTCATGGAAACTACTCCCTCTCCTCTGGCGCCGAGGCTCTAGACCTGGCCGACTACATATGGAATAACTTCCTCCACGGCCACTCCACTTCACTACGGCCATTCGGTTATGCACCATTGGACGGCGTGGATTTCAGGTGTGTTAAAATTTAGTAGATTTCTATTGAAAATCCTCACTTTCTTCTTGTTTTTTTTTTCTCAAAGCTTTTACATTTAATTAAAATTCCAAATTAAAGACAATAAAGTACTTCCAGTTGAAAATATTATTGGTTAATAAATATAATTAAAATTCTAAAATGTTACACAAAAAAAAAAAAAAAAAAAGGAAAAAAAAAAGAGGCTAAATGCTTAGAAAATATTTTTATCCAACAATTTATTTTATTCACTCCAATTATACAGCTAATTTAAATTTTGTAATGTCAGGATTGAGCGCGGGGAGTTCTCTCCCTACTACACTCTACTTGCTCGGAGGCTATACGACTACGGCCGGCAATGGGGTCGGAAAGTATACCTCACGGCGGCTCCAGGGTGCTGTTTTCCCGACAATTACTTAACCAAATCGCTTTACACCGGACTTTTCGACTATGTTTGGATTAGATTTTTCAACGACAGGCAATGCCAGTACAATTCCGGCGATCCATCTGTGTTCCGGAGGTCGTGGATGCAGTGGATACATTCAATTCCGGCAAGAAAATTTTACGTGGGAATTCCGGCGTCTGAAGAAGCCGGTGATGGGTACGTGACGCCGGCGGTGCTGATAAGGGACGTGCTGCCATTTGTTAAAAGATCCGCTAGCTACGGGGGCGTTATGCTTTTCGACTTGTCGAATGATGTTCAAACGAACTATAGCTCTTCAATCAGCGGCAGGGTTTGAAATCTCAAGATATTGTTGTTCTCTTTTAGTTTGGTTAGAGCATTAAAAGTTGATTAATGAATAAGTTAAATTGATTGGCATTTGCTTCTTGTTTAACAGTTGTTAATGAGTACAAGTTAATTAACGATTTAAATTTGGTTTAACTAAGATAATTCATTTTTTATCCAACAATTATTATTTTGGAAAAGAAAAGGCATTGAATGAAGGAGAAGACCATACATTTAATGACTTTTATGAATTATGAGTGTGACAATACGACCTTGTAGGGCAGAAAAATTGGAAGTTCATTATATCACAACGCTTTGACTTATACTAGAAAAATAATATACTTATGAATTATGATTTTACCACATTGAATTATACTAGAAAAATAATATACTTAAAAACCCAATTAATACTCTAAATACTATTAAAAATATATTATAAACAAATATTTCCTATTTTAAATATTGTATTAAATTCTTACAATATTTGAGGTGTGGATTGATGAAAAAATATATTTTATTTTTTCCGTTTGAAAATAACTTTTACTTTTCTTTTAATTAGTAGATAATTAAGAGTGAGAAAAAAAAATGCTTTTTTTTTTTTTTTTTTTTGGTTGAAATTCGATTCCGAACAGTGACCTTAATTCTCTTAAATGACAAATAGAATGTGAACATAACGAGAATCTTTTATGAAGATAAATATGGAAACTACATCCCCACCTACCCATTATATCACAACGCTTTGACAAATATATGGAGTTCCAAATCAACCCATATAATTCTTTTTCTTCTTATTTTGATATGATTTCACACGTTTAATTATCATTACAATTTTCTTCTTCCAGTAATATAAGTTCACATTAAATATTTTTTTTAAGAAATTCAAAATGATTGAATATTGTAATTTCGAGTATTGAACGTTAATTTATTTTAATATAATTAAAGTAAAATATGATTAAAAAATACCCTTTTTTTATATTGAAAAGGTAGCTTGTATAAAATGATTATATGATATTTATTTGCAAAGTTTATTCTTTTCCTGAAATAAAATTATAAACAAATGAAAACAGAAATCATTATTAGGCATCAGGGTCATATCCATTTGTACTATGATTGCCTTAAAACTTATAAGCTCATTATTCCCAATCCAAATCATTACCCTCTTTACCTTCAAAACTCAAACTTCTTCCCCATTTCATATAATTCTTCATTATTCTTTCAATAAATTCATTAGACTATGTTTTGATTAAAAACCTTTTCTTCCTCGTCCAACACGGGAGTGAGGTATTTGAATCTTATATCTAGGTTTTCAGACGTGTTCCCACGACTAACAAATATTGTTCGCTTCGACCTATTATGTATCGCCATCAGCCTCACGATTTTCGAGCGTGTTTACAAGGGAGAGGTTTTCACACCCTTGCAAGAAAGAGTTATTCCAGTTTCATTCCCAATCACTCGATGAAGTTTCCATACCCGTATAAGGAAGCTTCATTCCCCTCTCCAACCACCTCCCTTGGGGATTTTGGCATATTGTCGGGTGTTTGCTCTGTAACAGCCCAAAAAAAAAAAATATCTACTAGCAGTAATTTTGAGGTGTTAATTAGCCCACCGTCAGTCTCAGAATTTTTACTCATAAACTAGAAAGAGATTTTCACGTCTTTATAACTAAATGTTTCATTCTAATAAAAAATAACATGTAAATTAATAAAAATATAAAAATAAGAAAATAAATTCCGTACCGTTAAAAAAAAAAAAAAAAAAAAAAA